GTTTCTGGCTACAGAATACATTATAGTATGGAAATGGCAATTTCCAGAATAGGGATTAAATCAAGCGATGTTTATATTGTGTATTGATGTCTACTCACCTCGGCATAGATGAATTGTTTCTGGCTACAGAATACATTATAGTATGGAAATGGCAATTTCCAGAATGGGGATTAAATCAAGCGATGTTTATACAGTGTATTGATGTCTACTCACCTCTGTATAGATGAGGAATTGTTTCTGGCTACAGAATACTATTATGAAAGTATAATACATACTCCAAGTATTGAAATACACGCCATCGTGTTGGGATTCAATATTTCGACATTAATTATGTAATCATCAGGAATGATCATCATTCCTGATGATGACATAATTAATGTCGAAATATTGAATCCGAACACGATGGCGTGTATTTCAATACTTGGAGTATGTATTATACTTTCTTATCTGAGATTAATCAGTGGACCTTTCGGTTTTTGAATACTATTATATTATGAAAATGGCAATTTCAAGAATGGGGATTAAATCAAGCGATGTTTATATTGTGTATTGATGTCTACTCACCTCTGTATAGGTGAGGAATTGTTTCTGGCTACAGAATACATTATAGTATGGAAATGGCAATTTCCAGAATAGGGATTAAATCAAGCGATGTTTATATTATGTATTAAAGTTAATCAGGATGTAAAGCCCAAAAGAATAAAGCAGAATGCAATGTAAACACTGTACTCAAACAAACTCTAGCAAGTTAATAGCACAATGGTGTCAATGCACTCAAACATTCAAATAATACATAAGTATGTTATATACAATTATATAATAATCCCAACAATAATGATAATAATAATTAAATAACAGTGATGAGGATAATAATAATAATACGATAATTATAATAATGATGACAATAATAAGGCTGATAATAATAATAATAGTAATAATAATGATAATATTAATGATAATGTTGACACTAATAATAATAGCAATGATTATAATAATGGTAACAATAATAATAATAACAAAAATGAGAAAATAATATAATTTACAATATACTATTTTATTGTTGATCATAATAACGAAAATGCATTTTAAAACCGGCTAAAAGGCAAATTTGTTACTCACCTGAAAAATCTTATTTGCACTTTCACTCAATGCCGAGTCATCTGGACTGTCGACAGGAATCTCACGCGTGAATTTTGTGTCAAATTGACTTACGTCATCTTCCCCTGTCTGTTGATTAAAAATTACATAGAATTTAAACTACTGGGGAGCTCACTAGGTGGTTAGAATTTTTATTTTCAATCCAGTACATAAACGATAAAGATGTTTTTTTGATTAAATAACTGAATCAATTTTATTTATTTTGAATAATTTTTTAATGTTAAATGCTTTGATACTTAATTTGAATGTAATAATTTTTAATGAATTGTAAATATAATGATTGTTATTGATGTAAACAGTAACAATTGTAGCAATGATTTTACTTTGTTTTTGATTTTCTGGTAGCTTTCCTGATTTTTGCTTTCTTTTGTGCAATTTTGCAGTTAATTGTTTTACTGGAAATAAGGTAACTTTTCTTGGTATTCCTTGTAATCAAGGTCTGTTTGATTGCGCATTATTTAGGATTATAGTGTTTATTATTGTTTATTATTCAGGACTATAGTGTTTATTATTGTTCATTATTTAGGACTATAGTGTTTATCTTTTTCTAAATTTTTATGCCCTTGTTTACTAAAATTCAAACTCAAACTAGATAATTTCAAATCAACAATGAACAGTCTTATCAAATATTCCTGTGCAATAAATTACAAATATTTAACTTGTTAACAATGTTTAATGTTATTAAATTATCAATTTGTTAAATAAATAAAGTTTAATGTTCTATAAACTATCAATATGTTATATAGCTAATTTTCTCAATTTGATTGGTTTGTTGTGCAATATTTTTGAAGTTTATGGTTTTTTGTGTTTTTTGTGGTATTTTTATACCCTCTCCTACATTTTTCCCCAATTTTAATGTTCCCTTTTTTACTTATGTTTTCATAAGTACTTTGTTTAATTATATTTAAATATTATTAATAACTTCGTACCTGATAATTTTAATCAAAAGTGTATTTGGTGTGTACTAAATTGTATTGTTTTTTTTATTGTTTGGTCTTTCTAGTGTAAGCATTTTTAATTGTAAAAATGATGTAATTCAGCAACCAATTCAGCTGCCAATCAAATATTGAATAAATTGAAAGTGAAATATATTCTTACAACCATTACAGCCTTTTTAAGGTCAAACTTGTTTTGGAGTGAAACTCACTTTTAATTTGGTAGTAAAGTTGAACTAGATTTTGAGCCTAAATTTAATTATGATGTTAGGTTGTGATAAAGCATCACTAATAATAAAAATGATTTTTAAGGTGTTAATTAATAAAAAGGTGCATACAAGAGCAGGTTTAATTGGGGGTTCAAGTTTTCGTTGCACAACTGACTCCCAGTTTGTATTCCTGAAGAAAGCATGCTTTTTAATCTTTTCTGCATCCTCTGGACCACTTCCAAGTCTTGCATTAGGGTGTCGCCTTAGCAACTGGGAAAAAAAGATCAAAGAACACGTAATAAACACTCACAGAAAAAAAATGAATATATCTTTCGTACAACAATGATGATGATTACCCATGCCCCACTAGCTCTAACTTCACAGGCATTCCAAGTCTCCCGGAAATTGAGGGAGTCTTCCAGGAATCGGGATGGATTTTCACACTCCTGGAAGCAAGCAAGAATCTCCCGAAAAATAACCCATCTCCTGCAAACTTGTACTATTTGCATGTTTTTACTACCTCATTACCAATTGTCTCACAGAAGTCAGTGCTGATGGTTATCATTATGTGCAGCAAAATAAAATAAAATATGTTAAGAAAGCTCATTTAACCAGTTCTCTCAAAAGGGATTTCTTCTGAAACGGATTGTGGATATTTTGTGTTGTTTAAGTCTAACCCTTCCCGATCTACCAACGACTTTGTCAACTATAAACATACCTTTCGTATAAGATCCTTTGCTTCTGGTGTCAAGTAAGGAGGAAGAACT